CACACACACACACACACACTTTGGCCACTTGGAACCATCTAAGAAATGAGGCTGCATGTAACAAATGCAGAAGACAGCAAAGAACTAGCAGGGTTTTTTTTAAACCATCACTCTGTAGCTGCACAGCCAACAACCAAGAAATTGAGCACTGCATAGCAGGGTAACTCAAAAGTAGTTCACTGCTTACCACCCAGAGCTCTTTTCTGCCCATATGTAACTTTCCCATCAAAATCATCTACTGGTACTTTTATGTCTGGTTCAACTTGGGTTATAGTGCAGTTTAAGTGTTCTTCAATCTCCCCCAGCAACTACAGGAAAAAAAAAATATTTAAAGAAATATATTTAAGTACTCTTATGGTCCAAGGCTTCAGTCAGACTAGTGTTCTCAACAGTCACATTCAAATAGTTTCAACAGGAACTGTATGCAGAAATTACAGACACCAAAGACTAATACATTTTCTGCATAAATGGACTATGGAAGTTCATTTCCCACCTCAGTATGTTTTTATCCTACCTAAAAACTTTTATCTTACATGCTACCTTACTTATGTAAGTGGGGCTACTTGATTATAAAAAGCTCACAGTCCAAGCTGATTTTACCACGTATCATTCACCCTTCCTTAATGGAGAAAGATGGGAAGTACTGTGAATTTAACAAGCATTCATACTTAGTACACAAATCCCTATGAAATTGTACTTAACTGAAATACTATTTCCAAGTTAGAGGAACAACAGCTTTAAGTTAGTTTTCAACAAATCACCTGAACAAAAATGTGTTAACTAACATGCTGTGATTCTTAAACAGCATTTGGTTAGGAAGACCATAGAGACACTGAAAATGAGACTCCAACTGAATTGGCTGAGAAAATTAAAATAAACTTTTGTAATTAAATAAATAACCTACAGAAAGTATAACTTGCAGAATTTTCTAATTTCTTCTTGGAATGAAATCAAAAGTTATAAACACCCCCAAACTAGCTTTGTACTTCATAGAATCATTCTGGTTCAATGAGATCTTCAAGATCAAGTCCAACTGTTAACGCAGCACTGCCAGGCCACCACTAAACCATGTCCTTACGTACGACATCTACAATTCTTTTAAATCCCTCCAGGGATGGTGACTCCACCACTTCCCTGGGCAGCCTGTTCCACTGCTTGACAACCCCTTCTGTGAAGAAATGTTTCTAATATCCAACCTAAACCTCCTTTGGTGCAACTTGAGGCCATTTCCTCTTATTGCTTGTTACTTGGGAGAAGAGACTAATTCCCACCTTGCTACAACCTCCTTTCAGGCAGTTATAGAAAGCAATAAGGTCTCTCCTCAGCCTCCTCATTTCCAGGATAAATAACCCTGCTACGCAGATAAAACAAGAACTATACCCCACAGGCCTAGAACTTTCTGGTTAAGCAAAACATTTACCTGCATCTCATTGTACCATATGGTACAACCTCCTTCTTCCTTCAGTCTAGTATTGTAACATCCTTTACCACGACTACTGCATACATGATACCAAACCTAGAAATAAAGGAAAATCAACTTCTAAAACTTGTGAAATTTTGTACATTCATTGACAGTTAAAGCATGAAAAAGAATTCAGATACCTATTTAAATACCCTTTCAATTAAGCAAGAAAAACAGTTTTCCAGAGCAGGATATTGAATTCAGATATGGCTAGTGGATAGAACTTCAGCGAATAATCCCTGTTCAATTTTGCTTTGGAGTATAATTACCTTTTCTTTCTCTTTTGCCACAAGGGAGATGGCCAAACCCATCCTGAAATATTACAGGAGAAAGGAGAGAGAAAAAAAAAAAATTTCAGTAAGTAGTGCCAACTTATGAAATCACCAAGAAGAATAACCAAAAAAACCATGGTGACTCCTGAATACACCCACCTCTCAGCTCTGCCCACTCTCCCAATGCGATGAACATAGTTCTGTTTTTCATCAGGGAGTGTGACGTTGATAACTGTGTGAGATACAATCCACAGTGAATACAAGCTCTTAAACACAGGAGCTAAGGCACAGACCAGACATCTAAAATAAATAGGATTCTGATTGCTGCAATCCCTCTCCTCAGCCCATACACCTACTTTGCGTTGTCACAGCAGTTACAGGTGTCATTACCTGCAACACCTATACTTAAGGCTTGCACTATAGAACTGCTTTCTCCATGATTACTTTTTTGACAAAGGTGGAAATACAAATGAAGAACGCCCAACAATGTAGAACATCATTAGGTATGCCCAACAACGTAGAACATCATTAGGCATCTGAGAAGGTACGGTGAAAAATCAAATTAGAAGTTGAAGCCACTAACATCTATAATTTCTAGAAATGAGGCTGTAAGTCATATACCTGTTTCAACTAGTCGACAGGATTGCAAACTTATTGAAGCTGCATGCAATTCAATAGCTTAGATCAAATGTTGTGTCTTACCATATGGAACACCATGAATATCAATTCCTCTAGCAGCAACATCTGTGCAGATCAAGAATCGGACGTCTCCTCTCTACAAAAACAGAGTTGTAAAGAAGTGTTGTGCTAAACAAGCCCATCAAAACCTCAGGCGATAAAACACTCTGCACTGACTTCACCTCTCAGTGTCTCTGTATGTTCAACAGTTCCAATAAAGCTCTTCCACAGTGCAACAATGCTTTTTGAACACTAATAGCTTGGTCAATTGAGATCCTTATTTCTTTCCCCAACAGCATGAGGTAAGTATAAGTTGCTGAATGACTTAAAACCAAATTGTCTAATACCTAAATAACTTAAGAACCAGTAACTTTAAAAAACAATGAAATGTGTTGCAGTTTAAATTTCGGTTTTATTTAAAACTAAGCCCATCTATCCTCCCAGTGAAAACTCCCAAAGGTCATATTGACTGACAGTATAGGTTTCCACCCACAGAAACTGTGCCTCACAATTTTTAGGAAGTGGGTCATAGCACATGTGATGTTAATTTCATTTAAATGGAGAACATAGCAACACAAACTAATGCATGATTTCAGATACAGGGAAGCGAGGGAAAAGCTTTGAAGAATCTGCTTCATCACCTTAAATCTTTCCAGGTTTTGCTTTCTTTCTTGAGGCTTTCTGTCACCATGCAGACAGACACAGGAGAACTGATGTCCCTTCCTATCAGGGCCTGAAAGAGTTGCTGTGTGTTAGTACCATCATACATAAGTGATGACATAACACTACACAGAACTGCAGAAAAGTATATTTTGTGGGCAAAACTCTCAACTCGGGGGAATTTTACTTTACTACCAATTAACCTAAAAGGCTAACTACTGATAAAGACATCATGGAAATACAGGACCAACACTAAAATCTAAAATTCCCTTGTTTATCCAAATGTGTCTTATCTTTCTACTCACACACCTCCTTTCAGCATGCCACTGTTCTCTCTCACATTCATCCTACATCTCACGTGTGGACTTTCGTAGAGGCACATTTCTTCCTGTGTCTCCTACCCCTAGCAGCTATCACTTTTTCTTACGTACATTTCAGCAGAGGCACCACATAGTCTTCTCATTGGTTTAAGTTTTGGTGCACAGCAGGTTGTTTCCAGCCATTTCAGAGTTGTCTGGAACAGATACAGGGGAGTTCATTGCCTCCTCCCACAAAGGGCACTCCTCCAGCTCCCTGCTACTGAATGCTGATTTCTATGCCCAGTCAGTATATAAAAAACTTAAGGACGATTTTATTTGTGAGGTGTCTGAGTACCAGTCAGTGGCCTATCTTATTCAGTTTTGGCTTTGAAAAAGAACAGGAAAGTGAGAAAAATAAGGTTTCTATGAAAAATACTACCTCCGCCCTGCTGGATGAAGTACTGCTCCAAGTTATCACAATCTAGCTTAGTCCTGCAGAAGATAATGGCTTGGTCCATCTTGTGTTCTTTGATTGCCCGAACAGTGTATTCTCCTTTTAGAATTTTAATAGCTTCAGACCACATTTCTAAGTAAAAGTAAAGAAGTTATTTCACTCAAATTCTTTAAAAATATGAAGAGCCTTTGAACAGCACATTTTTAATGTCTTCTCTAGCCTTTCATTAGACAGTTACATTTTCTTAGAAAAGCAAGTCAACTAAACTTTCAGTTTTTTCTTCCTCCACCCCCATGTTCCACTGCTCCAAGGTAATATAATGCAGAAAGAACCAAACTACTACAGAGCTTCAAATTACTTACACCAATAACTTGTGATTTACATACCTGTAAAATATATATTCTCCCCCCTAATTACAGAAAAACGTTTCTCTTCATAACTACAAAAATATGTAAATAGTTTTGGAGAAAGCCAACTCAAGGCAGTTATCTACTGTAATTTAGCTTTAGTTCATGACATTTACAAAGGATTATTCCACAAGCTGTTACCTGGAGTGTTAGCGCCAGGTCGTGTATTATCTTTGGCGTGTACTTCATCAGTCTGGTAAAAAAACAAAAACTCTTTAAGTCATTATTTGACACTTCGGAGGAAATAAATCCATTAAGCTAAAATTAGCAAGAGATTAAATACTGTTTAAAAGTATTGTTAGAACTCTGTTCTTCTCCAAACTAATCTACCTTTAGCTACAGAGAAGTCTTGACGGTGAGCACACAACTTGTTCACAAAAAAAGACAAAGTTACTTACGCAGACACCAGATAGAAACAACCTTTGAACTAAGTGATGAATTTAAAAAAAAACACCAAAACAAAATCATCAAACACGAAAACAATGTACTATAAACATGGTATCACACAAACATGGTTATCTTTTTCTCTATGCTAGTCTGAATCAGATATAAACCTAAACCAAAAGAAATAAACTCATTCTAAGACTTAAAGTCTCTAACAGACCTAACAAAGGGAACCTCCAGAGATAACGAGGCATTAAGAAAACCTATTGACTGTAGCTGTGTAAGAATCGAGAGTGAAATACAATCCCCAAGTTATTTACAATTTGAAAACTACAGACTTCAACCACAGCAACCACCACCTCACCACTTCTCCTCTAAACTACAAGCAGTCTGAGATGAAATACACGCCTCTAGAAATTGCTCATCTCACACTGGTTAGAGACAAACTTGCTTTACAGTATGCTGGAAAGTTTACTTCCTTCTGAACACTTGGAAATGAGAGGTACTAACTACAGTTAGGCCACAAACCACTAGCTGTGAAATGAGTGAAAAAAAAGAAGTGCAGTGCCATTATTATCTATTACAAATCAGAACGTTACTCTGTGAAGACCTTCCTCAATCATGTTTGTAAGACTGACATGGAACAAGCCACTCCAGATACACTAAGCTGTTTCAATAGCTGGCAAAGTTCCTACAACATTAGGCCCAAATTCTGAAGGTTAAGTAAATAAAATATGGGCAAATAATCTTAATTTTCACTTATAGACCACTTACTCTGATATGATTCTTGCCGAGCCTTTCCCAGAGTTTGTCAGCTTTTGGATTTACAGGGACCACTACATGGTGTACAGTTTCAGGGACAGAGTCTTCTCCTTTCAAATCAACCCAGGTGGGAAAATGCATGATCTTTTCAGACAGTTTTTTCACATCAAAAGAATGTAGTGTTGCAGAGCACACAATCACCTGAGAAGGAAAAAGCAATATGGTTACCACTGAAGATCAGATTCACCCAGCAAAAAAGGACAGAGGAAGAATGTTACGTAGTTGAACAGCACAATGTAGCTCAACAGAGCCCCTGACTGACTTTCTCATCAGCTGGGTGATTCATGTGATGAGGAGTCAAGACACAAGATAAGTTACTTAACTATTCTCTTACAAAAATCCAGTCACTTAAGAGGAAGAAAGCAGAATTACTGAGAGCCCATTATTATACCTTTAGAAATCATGATGTGCATAGTTAGATATAAATGTATCCGAAAAACAATTAACTCAAATACTGCTAAACATTGGGCTTCAAAATCCAGTATCCTAAAAATACATATTCACAGGCAACTACTGAGCCTCATGAACAAATGTTTGTGACATGAGCTATAATAAAATCTTACTCAAAAAAGCACGTAGCAAACAACAACTGAACACAGTGTACACCACACAAAACCCTTTCCCAAACAAACGAACCCACCACAAAAGAACACCAAAAAGCATGAACAAATTTAATACCTGAAGTCTCTTCCCATCTGAAGTTATCTGAGGAATTTGACCATGGATTCTGTTTATGAAATCTGAATAACCTTGGAGGAGAAGGCCATCCTACATGGGAATGAAAAGAAATAAAGCTGCAATTCTTATTTCTGATTTCTAAGTTTACACACTTGAATTAAACAATACGCTTGTACTCGCCAAATTTTCTTTTCTTAATCTCTTCTAATTAGCAGGACAGGTCAATGTCTGGCTGGGACAGTATTACTGAGCAGGAAAAAAAGTTGGGAGTATTTACAAGTACAGATGCTGTGCTTCACAAAAAATTGAACATCTGCCTCAGCAGCTCCTAGCTAATAACCCAAGGCACTCCATCTTTCTGATTATTCATTTGCACTATAGCACACCAGAGGGACAGGCACTCATTTCACAGCATACTGATTGCAACATTCACTGGTCTCAAGACCTGCTGGGGAATCTACAATGCTTTTCTCATCTTTGTCCTTCCAAGTTCCCTGTACAGTGACAGGGACAGATTTCATTATGCAGAGAAATCTTTCAGGCTGCATTCACAATTATAAATAAATAAAACTCCAAACAAACAAACAAAACCAACAAACAACTTTACCAGAGAAGCTAAAAGGGCAAACAACTATGTAGGTTACTCTGGTTACAAAAGATGAACCAGGAGGAGTCTATAGGTAGCTAATTGTTGCTCCCCTGAAGTACCAAATGCTACAGAGCAATGATGCTCTGCTGACTCTTTCAGGAAAGGTCACGCTGCACTTGAGAACAGAACTGGAGTATCCCTTAGTTCTTTACATACAGCTTCATCCAGAACCAGGAATCTAACTTGAGACAAATTAAGCTTCCCTGTTGAGACCAGGTCATCCAGTCTTCCAGGAGTTCCGACGACAATATCCACCTGTGCAAGACAGAAGAGTATGAATTGGTCCCATAACGACCTAGCAGCATTACCAGCTTTGTTCAAGTTTAACATTAAGAGACAATTCTGATGCCCTATTTTCTATGATATACAGTTTCATAAAATCCTAGAGTAATTTGGGTTAGAGGGATCTCTGGAAGTCATCTGGTCTCCACTCCCACCATCACATACAAATCAAGAACAACTACTAAGTTGTTTTAGGTAGTTGCCTGACAAAGTTTTCAGTATCTTCAAGGAAAGAGATCCCACAACCTCTCTGGGCAACTTTCATTTCAGTTCTACAGCTATTTCATTAGCAGAATCTGCCTTAGGCAGGACTTATTTTTAAATGGGGATAAAATAAATTTACTTTTTTTGTACTGTCAAAGTATACATATCAGGAGTATCAACCATAGAAATAACTTGAGATCTTGCCAGATGGAAAAGTTTACCATCATGAATTTAGCATTCACATGAAAAGCTAGCAATCTTCTAAGCAGGCTTAGAACTAGAACAGGCTTCTTGAACTAGAAAATTTACAATTTTACAGCCAGAATCACTGAAAAACATCAATAGTGACATGGTCTTACTTCCAAAACTGAGTGTTAAATAAAAAAAAAATAATTAAAAAAAAAAAAAGACATTCTCTCCCTACAGCATGACTGAATTGATTGTACATCCCATGCTACTGAAGCTAGACTGGTTCCTTCCATGCAGAGCTGGTTAGTGTTTATGTAATTAAAACAGGTAATTGTCAACCTGTTTTAATTACATAAACATGAAACAGAAATTAACAGGAAAACTGCCTCTGTCTTGCTAGTTAAAATAAAGACAACTTTTATAAGTTGTCCTTAAAATTTTCCCAAGTACTCAGGCTTCAACAGAATTGGACCAAGTACTATAAACACTAGTATTGACAACTGCCATGGAAGTAAAGCCACAAATGCCAGACCAGTGCAGCATGAGCTTGCTATCAACTGCACATTTTCTTTCCATCAGGTTTACAGAAGTTACAAGCAGCACTGTTACTATTCTCTAGCAACATCATATAATTTTATAGTTTGCATTCTGAATAGCTCATGAACAACAATACAACTTACTCCTTGTTCCAGTATAGATAGTTGATCTCTTGCAGCAACTCCACCAATAATCAACAGTTCCCTAAAATTACATAAACATATTTTGACATTTGCTAGTTTATTACATACAGAGGACATATTAAACATCTGGCTGAAGAGTGATTCTTTTATTAGCTCATGGTTAACAGATCTGAACAGTAACTTTAAGAGCAAAATAGGAAAAAAAAATAAAATTGGTCCCTTCATATGCAATGTTTAATTCTTGAATTTTAATTCAAAAAGCTGAAGTAGTTACTGAATTGAATTTGCATTTGAATACTTTATTGCTGTTGTATAAAAACACAACACCTTAACTATTTTCTTCTTAAAGAATCTGTTCCTTAAAAGTTTCAAACATAAGTTAATAAGTTTCTTTTCTTCCTCAAAGCTAGAAAGACAATGAACAGTAAACTCAATTAATCTTGCATAACAGCTTGCCTCTCTTCACTGCTACTTGTCTGCAATTCTAGTAAAAGTACTCTGAAGTAAGAATACGGAAACAGTTGTTTAAGTTTTATAAGCACAGTCTAGACCAAAGCAACTTGTAGATGATTTGTCAGAATTGTATCCCCATGATAATCACTGCAACATTTGTCCTGTGACCATACTAATGTTGTATACAAGCTCTGCTCTTCTTACTACTTGGAGAGGAAAAACAAAACGAGGGCAGAGGGAGGTGGGGGGCACAGGAAGATGCTCAGAAAAGGAGGGCAGTAAGCAGATGATGAGCTTTCCTTGAGGAAAATCATTAAGTACCACACACCTTTGACAATCTGAAGAAAAAAAAAAAATCAAAACCAAACAGATTTGTCATGCCAGAAAGATGCAGTCTATAGATAAAACACATCAAAAAAAGCCTTAACTAGTCTGACTGTAGCTGAAAAGTGCCAAGGCTGGTTGATAGCAGATATTAATGGGGCTGTTATCAGCAGCACTGCAGATTAAAGTCCACTTAGCTACAAAGTGAACAACCCCCATCTCCCTGCAAAGTCATGGCCATGGACAATACAATTATAATAGATGCACTGTTACCTTAATTTTGGATTTTCAACATATTTTTTGAACTGCTTCACATTGTTCAAAGTTTGTTCTGCCAGCTCTCTTGATGGCTCTACAATCAATGCTTTTGGAGCATTTGGAAGGTTCTGTGTTTGAACCACTTGTGCATTTCCTAAGTGAAAAAAAACATGCCATCAAAACATGGATTTTCTCCAAGTAGCTTAAAACCTGATTCTAGATGCTCCATTCATGGGTGGTGCTACAGCTCACTCGCTTTTTAATAGCTTTAGACCAAGGGATTACAAGTGAACCTTGCCATGAGAGTGGGGTATATTAGCAATGTAGCATAATCAATTTTATTGCAGAGCTTACACACACACACACACTTAAAGATGACACTATTGTGTAATTTAGCTCAACTTCTGTTTTCATCTGATGCATTTCTTAATTCAAAATGTTAGATTTGTGGTTTAAAATGATGAAAAACTGGAATACTTGAAGTACTAATATTGTTGCTATCAGCAAGACCGTTGTAAGACCTTGAATACAGCAGTAATGGAGCAATTAAGTTATCAAAAGCTGCTCTGTAACACAATTTGTATATAGAAGCTAGGGAAGTTTAAAAGCCTAACCTACCTGAGTGTTGTGATTTTACAACACTGCCGTCAGGAGCCTTGCAAAGACCAATGTAGCCATCTTTTGGTGGAAACTTGAAATCTTCTTCACCAAAATTGAATTTCAGTTCAGCATTCTAGATTTCAACAAAGTTGTGTTAGACGGATTCAAGAGATCACACAAAGTGAGAAAATTCAGTAATTTACTTCCCCACGAGAACCCAGCTAGATGAGGAGGGGAAGGTGGCGTTTATTCCTGCCTTAGACACTGCCCTTCCCCAAGCTGTCACAGCATACCAGTTTAATACAGGTAAGATAGCAGTATTATTAAGGATTAATTATCTCTGCTATCCCACCCTCATATTAAATTTAAATATTTGATATTTAACTTGAATGGTGCTTGTCAAAGCTAACAGACAGTGATGACCATTCCAGTAGTGAAATGCTAGCAGACCAAAGGAAATGGAATGTGCAGCCAAACTACAGTAATTGCAGGTGGCTATGCAAATTTTACAAAGAAGTTAGTTACCAAAACTAGAACAATTTTCATGATCCTGCACATCTGTGACACCAAGTTACCTTCAGTACACAAGCTGCAAAAAGTGCTTGGTTCCTTATGTGTGGTGGGATTTCAAATGCAAGGCCAAGGTCCTTCCCTGAAATCAGAGTTAGTTCAGTCAGATTGAGGGCATGTGCATTCCTCTCACTGCCCAATAGAATTCCAAGGAAGTGAAGTGAACTTACCATTTTTAGAAAATTTTATTTGTCCTTTATCTATGTCTAGATAACACCCAATTGTATCATGCATAGTGAATTCCTGTAACAAAAATAAGTTTGTGTAGCTAAGAGATTTTAGTGCTCAATGTATTAAGAAAACTTAGGCCTTACATTCTGCCAACTTTTAGTTTTACCACTTCCCCCTACTAAATTCCATTTCTTGAGAGAAGCAAGTTTATTTGATTCCAATAACATTATTTTAAATAGCATGCATATTATTTTTTGATTGCAAATCTTCAGTAAACTGCCCGATTTACTTAGACATTTAAACATTTATTGCTGCTTTCAGTTTATTTTCAAGCCAAACACTTCAGACAATGACAAATTTAAGCCACTTAAATAACTGGAAGTATTCTGTATTATGGAAAGGTGTATTAGTCATGCATTTATTAGCCAATATAAGTCTAAGCTTAGAGCACCAAACAGCAACAGAAACCTGTATTTTGACTACCTAAAAAGATTAACTCTTGCAGCAGGTACTATATGCACATTATGCATACTGAAATACCTCATTTAAATATCCTGATATCTGTTCATTGTAAAGGTATTGAATAAAATCTGTGTATTATAAAGTGTTTCTAAGTCAATAGCTCAGAAGTCACTGCTGTAAAAAAGCTACAACAGTCATAAAAGTTGAATGTCATAAAGCTTGCAGAGTTCATTAATACCACAAAAAGACCTGAGTTTCTGCTGCAGTGTTCCTATTTATATAAATGATGCTTGAACATCTGATCTCTTGACTGGCACACTACACAAAACTCACCACCAACATTCCTGGTAGACATTTTCAGAGGTCTACATTAAGGTAACAGTTCTAAAGACAAACCCAACTCAACAGCCAGAAATAAAAGCATGACTAGCCACATCTTAATCAGCATTTAAGTACATGTTTACTAGTAGTTACAGTAGAAGTAATCACACAGCTCTCTAATACATCAAAACATGCTTGGTGAGGATGCCCTCACTTAGACATCCACCAAAGAACACAGACAGCTTGGGTGCTGTTCAGCTAAGACTGAAATAAGAAATAAATCCAAGAGATTAGTTAACATCTAACCTGTGAAACACAGAAAAGATTTATCTTCTTAATAAGAGTCAATATATTTGCAGTCTTAGCCAAAATCGTAAACCTTAAACTGGTAACTGGTTTTGTTGAATCTGTTAATGTGCTTTTATCCAAAAATGCTTCAGTGTTTTTCTCTGTGCTTTTGCCCAATGACCTTTCCTTAGAATTCAGCAGTATTACAAGACAGTTGATTGTTATAGCACAGAACTAACATGCAAAACTTCTAATTATGCTTTTACCAGTAAACTATTCAAGCTTACCTCACCATAGCTGTCAAATTGCTTGTTGTGAGATTTCTTACCAGTGCCACCAAAGCCAAAGCCAAATTTATCAGTGCCTGAAGACAAAACAAAGGACAGCTTTTTATCTTTTGGTTGACACTTCACACTTTTTCCTCTTTGTATTGGCAACTGAAGGCTCTAGCACGACCATGTAAAAAAATAATACACAGTGCTAACTAAAGGTTCTAGCTTTGATATGCACTAAAGAAGTATTTTTCTAACAGCACATTTATTGATTTTACTAGTCTCCAGTCATCATCATTTAAGAAATCTAAATAAAATGGAAGGAGCCAGAAGACAGGAAACTTTGCTGCTGCCTTTGCAGATCTCCTCTCACAGGAAGAACAATATTTGTACAGAAAGTTTTAAACTCCCCTATATTGCTATCCTTCCCAAGAAGCCCATTCTCTTTAAGACTATTACAGGACTCGAGCCATTCCATACAAATGTGAAAACTGTCCACAGGATTCTTCTTTTAAAGGAGACTCACCCAAGTCTAGTGAAGCCTGCATAGTTGACCAACCAACTCTGCACAAGCCTTGGTCATGACAGGAAACTTCATAGTAGTATTTGCCTTTAAGAGAGAAAGAAAGGATCTAACACACCATATAAATTTCCATTTCTTCCAGGTGGTTCTGTTTGGCTATCTGAAAAACCATGCAAGTCTAATGCTTCCACCCCTGCTGAAAGGGGCAGAAAATCTCCTATTAGGTTGGTGTGAAAAGGTTCTGTAAGAACCTATGTATGTAATGAAAACACAGATTATCACAGAACAGCAGGCAAGGGAGAGAAAAAAAAACATATGCTAAGGTGTGTGAAAGGCTCTAAGACTGATAAGCTGTAGACCAGTGGATCTGATCTCCACTGATCCAGTGGAGCAGCACAGAATCCAACAAATACACAAGAACTGATAAACCTCAGAACACCAGGGGTCTGCTGAATCACATACAAAACCACCAGCATCAACAGCTGGTTGTATAGTTTCAACCATATCCAACTGGCTGCTATGTACAGACAAGCTACATGATTATCTGCAGACCTGGCGAAATGAGACTGAGGGTCTCTCAACACCCACCCAGAACCACAGGAGTACCAGTGCAACTCTGCTTCTGAGTCAAGAGCTGGGGTTGGCCTCAACTGTTGTGCCAACCATGTAACAATGAAATTTGTGCATGTATTTGTGTGAAGTGTGCAAGGAAACAACTGAACATACTGTGTGAGTAGCTATTTCCTATTAATAAACACCTTAATAAAATGTGTTCTAATGAATATTAGTTATGATCTTGTCTCCTTCAAGATAATCTCCTACCAGGGAGAAAGTAATTTATAACCTAAGGAGAGCAAAACAGAGGTGTTTGTCCTTCCAAAACCTTCATAAGTTGAGTAATGACACATTTGCTCAGCTGGATATGAGTTTAAAATGCAACCATCTACATAAACAATGTGTGACAAGCAAGCACTTCAGCTGAAACTTCTAGAAGAGCCTCCAAAATAATATTTACCTTTAGTCACGCCTCTGGTTGCTCTGCACCCATGCCATTCTTTTACCTCTCTGCTTTGGCAACACAAACCATCCGACCCAATTGCTGAAAATTACAAAACAGTATTAGTTAAAGAAACTGCCTCACTAACTGCTTTTACATTAACTTTTCACACATGCTTTCTTAGTTTATTATCTTTTTCACTGAGTGAAATTTTCAAGTGAACATTTGGACTACTCACCAAAAGCTGATCCTCTATCATATGGGTTCATTTGCCATTTATTGAGCACTAAGTGTGAAAGACAGAAACAGAAAATGCATTACATCAACAAGGTAAGCCTGGAAAGCTCAAATCAGAAGTTCAGATTGGTTCTGCAGTGTTCGGCTTAATTTTCTGGGGAGGCAGCTTTGTTCCAATGCAATTAATACAAGGTCAAAATGAAGGCCTACAGCTTGAAGGAGGGGCACAACACATTTCAAATTCAGCTAGAAAACACCTCAAAATTCAGTAAGAGCAATAAATTTGAAATGTATTTGCTATTTCTGTTCAAGTTTAGATTAAGGTATTTTTCAGGGTATCAGTTAAAATGTCACTAAGATACACACACATACAGCACATAAAATTTCTGACTTCATTTTTCATATGCCAAATAATATGCTGCAAAAAAGTTTAGAGATTCCACAATATAAGGATTTTGTTGGGTAAAACTAGATGCCATTTCAATTAGGATTACTGAATGTATTTGCATTAAAAAATAAAATCCTCCTTGGAGGAGTGTGAAGTTGACTGTACTGTCACCACTGTAGTGATAATTATAATGAAGCTGAAAGAGAAGAACTCCTGTAACATCTTCAGAGTGTTGTTTGTGCAGATACTGTCACTTACATAAGTCTCCATCTATAAATACCACAGACTGGGCATGGTTACCAGCTTTCTAGTTGCAAGCTTATTTAAATCGATGTACAATAGATACTCAAACACTGTGAGCATATTACCATGGTTACAATCCATTCTATAACCATGGGTTTTGACCCTGTGCAATCTGTGCTCAGTTCAGTGTTTACTAATTCAAATCTGCAGTAACCTAAGATGTTGTTATTTGGCTTCCAAACCCAGACATCTGCCCCAAGGTATGCAACAGCTTTGCTCAGCACAGCAGAACTGGGAGACACACAACAGTGCTACCCCAGCCACACAAAAATAAGTTTGAGTCTGGAAGAGATTTCTCCTCAAGCTTCCTTTAGAGGCCCAAAGCAACCATGTGGCATCACTGCTGGTGTCTCATCTACCACTGCAACTGGAAGATTTTTTTTTAATCCCTTCTTTAAGCTAGACACTACTACCACTTCACATTTTGCAAGGCACTAAACTAATATGGCTTTCAGAAGAACACTGAAGCATGTAGTGTGGATCAGCCAGCCTTAAGCTGAAGACAGTGAGTATTACGAAGAAACCGCAGCCAAACGCAGCCCCATTCACTCCATAACCCCATCAGTAAATTTATATCCACTGCTTCATAATGTCTGGAGTGAGGATACTCTATTTACATTATCCCAAATTAAGGAAAAAATACCTATCTAATGGCAAGTTAGGTTAGCTTTACTTTGGGAAGTGACAGAATCAACATGAATTAACCGTTCATAACAATGAGGAGTGTGA